GGATATGCCCAATCTGCTCAAATAAATTAATCAAATATTTTTTATATTCATCTATGTCACTAATACAGTGCTATGTGATACAAAAATAAATAGAACGCATGTTACATTGTCAGACTTGCCTTTTCCCACTGCAGACGTTCACCCAACGTTTTAAAACCAAAGGGTCATCGCCATCTTGTGGTCACAGAGGCTAAGTACAAAGCATTAAGCCTTGCTAGCTTTTCAAAGGTGAGATAAAGAGATTCAAAGTAATGTATTGCTTTCTCTTAATAATTTGGGAAGTTGTGGTGTTAGTTGGCAGATTTTTTGAGGTGTGTTGTGCATCAGGGAATACGACCGTGGTTTTTTATCAATTTATGAATCCTCGAGTCATTTTAAGCAAATTTTGAAGAGGAAGTTAACGTTGTGATGACAATGTTTCTATAGATTTAGAGAAATGAGAAATGCCAGTTTTATAAATAATAGTACCATTTGTAGGTATTTGTTTCCACCTTTTGAAATTATTATTGATCCTATAGCAATTCAAGATTTTCAGAGCATTAACACAACATATTGTGGTTATGACATCTGAAAAACATGGGTACTCATAAATGTTTACATAGGAATTGTTAGCCTTGTCATGTTTGCTTATAAGTAGTTTTAAAGTATAATGTATGATGGGGCAATGGGATGCAGTACTCATTTTTTTTCTTGGCAAATAACCTGTAATATTTAGAGAAAAATAAACATATATAGCAATTGAATATGAAAAATAATTTGACGCTTAAAAATATATGTTGTGTTTTAATCAGAAGTCAGTTTTAAATTTAGAGTTTTCAAATGAGAATGTGAGGCATTTGAAATGGCCACTTAAATATGATACAGTTAGCAGGATCGCTAAAATATTATCATCACATTTTAAGAGTTATAGTAGGCACTTCATCCTTCTAGAGTTCATGTCAAATTACATGAGAAATTACAGAGAAAATTTGTGAGTAGGCAGTCATAATGCCTGTGAGAATGTTGGCTAGCACCATAACATTTGTATAATAATGCCCTTTTTAACCGAGTATTTTATTTATTTCATTTTATTTCTTGCTACAGTCTCTTCTTCCCCAAGATTCTGTAATAATTGTATGCTGAGTGGGCTGTGAGAACAGAAAGTTATTTTATGCCATTTATGTGGGGGCGGGGGGGAATCTGTTGTCGTCAATAATGTTCTTGTAGGCAGGACCTCATTAAGACTTCCATGGACCCCTTTCTTCATAAAACATTAATTAAATTATATTTTATGGCTTGTTGCTACAGAAAAGAATATAATCCAGGTTTGAATGATTATTGTACGTATATTGCTATTACCATGTTCTCTTTATTTTAAAAGAAACTAAATATTTTTATAGGTTTCTAAGCTCTTGCAAGCTGTGGGCACTGTGCCTACTGTACCTAATGAATAAGTCAGTACTGTCCACTGGGAGTCTCCTCTCACCCTGAAGGCACTAAGGATCTCAGTCTGTCTTTTTGCTGATTTTCCAGAGGCCAGATACCTGGAGGACTACTCTGGCCTCAGAAATGGTCCCTCCATGGTGCTTGAAATAAGGCACTTGATCAGTGGGTAGTCAGTGTTGCATAGAAAAAGATGATGCTGATCTTTGCACCTCTGTCCAGTTGGTGGTACTTTAGGTGCAACAATGGAGTGGAATGGCACAGGATTTAGAAGTTGGTTGTTGATCCAGGCCAAGTTATTTAAGCTCTCTTCTCTGATTTGTTACTTAGAACAGTGATTATCTCCAGCTCCTAGGATATTGTGAATTAATACATGCCGAACACTTTAGTAGATGCCTGGCACATAAAGTTTGTATCCAGTAATAGGTTGCTGTTATAACAATGTGTGTATTCATGAATTAACTTTTAAACAACATTTATTATGCTTCAAAGTTAAACGCTAGGCCTAAAAATGATTTTCTGACACTGTCCTCTGAAGTATACTCTCTTATGCCTTCTTCTATTTTATAGCAGTGATGTTGTGTAGCTCTCATTTCTATTTTAATAAGAGCTATGCAAAGTTGTCCTGTGGCTGTATGGACATTCTGGGAGCTATAAGTTTGTCCACTGACAGTGTTAATCATTTAACCTCATTAAAATGCATAAACGATAAGACGTAGCACATGACTTTTCTTTCTCCTATATTACTTTTATTTATATTACCCACAAATGAAAGCAAAAGTGACATTAGAAGATAATTTTGGCTAAAAATATGTCTACATGTTTAAAGTAACTGAATTTTTCGAAGAATCATTGAAATTCTTTTTCTTAACCTATAACAAGTGAATCAAAACCAAATCATCCACTTGGCTACCTCATTGGCATAGCAGAACTTGAAATGTCAGTGACTTGTGTATTTCTTTGTTCACGTAGAGACATGATCAAAGGATAACTATTCCATCCCAGAGATATAATAGTAAAAAGCTTTCATTAAATGTTACTAATATTTCCTTATTATTCACCCTGCTATCGTCACTATTTTTTATGTGTTTCTGGCAGTATTTAAGAGTAGAGAAAGAAGGTCATTATCGATGGTGAATCACCATTTGCTTATACTACTAGGATTTGGAGATTGTGTTAGTTAGAATTTTAGATAGGTCTCTGAGATTCCTGCCTTCTTGTTATTCAAACATTCTTCTAGGTACTGTTGAAAACAAAAATTATAGTGCCGGGCGCAGTAGCTCGCCTGTAGTTTCAGCACTTTGGGAAGTGGAGGCAGATGGATCACAACGTCAGGAGATGGAGACCATCCTGGCTAACATGGTAAAACCCCATCTCTACTAAAAATACAGAAACTAGCTGGGCGTGGTGTAGTCCCACACATGCACCTGTAGTCCCAGCTACTCGGGAGGCTGAGGCAGGAGAATTGCTTGAACCCGGCAGGAGGAGGTTGCAGTGAGTGGAGATCACGCCACTGCACCACTCTATCCTGATGACAGAGTGACACTCCGTTTCAAAAAAAAAAAAAAAGAAAAAAAGCAGATGTAATTAAAGCCCCCAACCAGTTGGCCTTTTTAAGGTCATATGAAGGTTTCCTGGGTGGGTCTGCCCCTACCAAAAGAATACTTTAAAAGAGGAGAACTTTTTCTAGATAACAGAAGGTGAGGAAATCAGAGATTGAAAGTAGAAGTAGGATTTGACCTGCCATTGCTGTGTTTGAAAATGAAGGAGGCCTTCTAATGCGGAGTATGGGTGCCGTTCCAAAGATGTGGGAGCCTCTGGCTGACAGCTAGGTACTGGGGACTTCAGTCCTACAACCACAAGGAAAAAATGCTTCCAAAAAGCCAGATAAGCCTGGAAGTAAATTATTTTTGATGTCTTTCATATAAGAGGCTAGCAAGGAACAACTGGATTTTGGTCTTTTGAACTCTTAAGCAGAAAACCTAGATGAGTCTTGTGGAACTTCTAATCTAGAACAACTATGACATAGTAAATAGCTGTTGTTTGAGCTGCTAATTTTATGGAAATTTTTGTCAGGCCACAGTAGAAATCTAATGTATGTGTACAACATAAGGATACAATTCTACTTTTAGTCCTGTGCATGGTCATATAGTTATTGCAAAGTATATCTAAAAAGTAAAAACAAAGGCTTCTAAATCAGTTTTTAATTGTCACTGGTTTGTGGCATTTGATGATTAGATGGTCATTCTATTTTAAGGTTTTTGACTTTTGGGATATATACAGTTTTGATTGAATTCTCCACAGATCTCAAGCAAATTAACATATCCTTTTTGTTATTAAAGACATATTAGCGTTATACTTTTAAATTGAAATAGAAAAATCTTTATGCACCTAAAGTGGAATACATTAGAGCAATGCTCTCTAGCTGTTACATTTTGAAAATTTTTGATTTAAATGTAGTGACATGTAGTGGCTTATAAGGAATGGTATGGAGCAATGGGGAAAAATTAAAATAATTTAGACAAAAATATATTTAATTGAAAGATACAGTTGAAAAATATATATAGTATTTTTCAATGCTGGAGGAAATACATTGTCAATTAATTGTCTCTTTTTTAATATATTAATTCAGAAATAGACTATGAAGTGATGAAAACGTTTGATACTAAACCATCTAAGTGAAGTTCTACAGGATCATGTACTTTCTCACACTGTTGGTTAAAGTGTAAGTGGTTATACTGTCTTTGAAGGGCAATTTAGTAATGTTTATTAAAATTTAAAATAATCTTTGACCCAGAATTCTACTTTCATGAATTTATCAATACATGTACTCTCACATGTATACAAACTTATGCATGTTCAAGCAAGGGTATTTGTAGTTTAGTGTAAATGCAAAAAATCTACATCCAGGTAATGGACTGATATTTGGTTTTCAAAATCAGTAGCACTGGATGTGCTGATATGGATTGATTATCCAGCAACAATTTTAAATTAAACAAGCAAAGTTCAGAATAGTGTGTATCTTCGGTACTTAAAAATGCATATTTTATGTATAAATAAACATATACTGGTGAAATGTACATGTAGCATGTGCACATATATATTTGTATAAAAAAGAAAAAATCACTTACATGCAAGTTTTTGTTTCTTGCGAAAATCTTTACGAAGGTATGCAAGAAAACATTATTTCTGGGGAGTAGACCTGGAGGTGATACAGCTGGAAGGAAACTTACCTTTCATTGGCTATTCTTCTGTCGTCTTTCAGTTATGAAGCATGTATGTGCCTGTATTATGATGATATATTTTAGAAAGATGAACTCTCTTTAGAAAGTGTTACTTCTTCCCTCATATGATTATATGATCTTCTGTATTTTTCATTTTCTATATTTTATTTTTCTTCCAGGCACAGAAATACACTATATAAGTAATCAGTTTATCAGAGATCTAAAATGAATTGTCAAATCTTTAAGATGATAAAAGGTTATCATTCAAAAACTGTAAGTTATGTGTATTATTGTTGGCTATGGTTATTTGCATGGTGTGATTATAATGATGAATATTTCACAAGGCCATTGTAATTTCAAACACATTTATTATTTTCTTCATGCTCTTTAATGGATTATGGGAATAAAAATGCTTTAGTGGAAGAAAAGGAAGAGAAAGGTTTAATTAAAACCATCTACATCTTGGCAAATATACCTAAAGTGTTCATTTTTAAATTTGACTTTATTATGCATTTAATTTGAAATTATTCAGGATATGAGCTCCTAAAACTTGCAAGTGACACATGATGGATAAGAAAATGTGTGAAATATTTTCTATCACTTAATTTTGCTCTTTTTGTAAACATTTTAGGTTTATTCCTAACTCATCTGGTGTTTCCTTAAGTTACATTTTCATTATATTATAACAATTTTAATTATATTTTATGTAATCATATAATATCTCAGAACACAACCTCAAAGTATCATGCTGAGTTTTGTTTTCAAAGAGAGCAGTAAGAATGGTTTAGGTATAGTAGGCATCGTAATGCTAACCATTATTTGAAATTAGACGAGGCTTCCAATAGGCAGACGAGGTAGACACATGTATGCTTGAGGAGTTTTGCTGAGATTAATAGGGTTTCCATCCAGGCGAATGTCCTCTAGTGCCTTACGAATATAAGTCACATTTTTAACATTGCAGAATGTATCTTCGTGCATCTCCAGAATGTTGTTATTCTAAAAAAGATGAAAATAAATTATGATGAGATATAACACATCCTTAGTATTGATCGATAGTGAAGTCCACTGTGCTTCACCCTTATTTTTATTCTTTTGTTCTTTTCCTTAATCAAAATTATTTAATGTATATGCCAAGCACTTACTAAACAATGGGATGAATTAGGAAATAGATATGCTGCTACCTTTAAGAAGCTTATACTTTAGTAAGAGAAAGAAAATTCGAGGTGAAAAAGCAACTGAAAGAAAAAAAGTTATTTCCAAAAGTGAGGAGTATTGTGAAGAAAATAGGATAACGATTAAAAGTTATTTTTAGAGATAACAATTGAACTGAGAATGGAATAACAAGAAGAAAAAAGCATAAAAAAATAAAAAAGGGAAAAATATTCTAGGCACAGAGAACATCAGGTTTAGAGTTCTGAGAAATTAGCATGGAATGCTCCTCCCTCAACATTCAACCTTCAACTCAATGTGGCTGAAGTGAGGGGAAGGAAGGAGGGAGCAAATATCCTGAAGGTAAGCAGGGCGCAGGACTGGTACTGTATCTCACATACCATAAAATTCACACACTTAAATGGTATAGCTCAGTGTTTTGTAGTATATTCACAGAGCTTTGCAACCATCTGTCTAATTTTAAAGCATTTTCAACACCCGCAAAAGAAAACCACACATTCCCCATCTCTCACCCCAGCAACTGCTAATCTATTTTCTGTTTCTAAGATTTTCCTATTTGGACATTTCACCTAAGTGGAATCATATATTATTTTTTTATACTGAGTTCTTTCACTTAATATTGTGTTTTCAAAGTTCATACATGTTGTAGCATGTATTGGTGCTTCATTTTTTTATTGTCCAATAGTATTTCATTGTGCTGATATACCACATTTTTGTTTATCTATTAATCAGTTAATGGAAATTTGAATTATTTCCAAATCCATATTTTGGCTCCTATGAGTCTGCTGCTGTCTACATTTATGTACAAGTTTTGTATGGACGTATGCTTTCAGTTCTCTTAGGTATATTCTTAGACATTGAACATTTTGAGGAGCTGTCAGACTGTTTTCCAAGGTAGGGGCACCATTTTACACGTACAGCTATAATGTATGAGGATTCCAATTTTCTCTGCATCTTAACCAATACTTCTAATTGTTTTTTTTTTTTTTAATTTTAGCCAACTAAGTGAGTATGAGTTGGTATCTCACTGTGTTTTTGTTCATTGGTAGTGTATTGAAACATAATTGATACTTTATATTGATATCATTGCTGAGCTTATTTATTAGTTCAAATACTTTAGTGGATTCCTTAGGATTTTCTATATCAAAGATTTGTAAATTAATTTGGGGACCATTTTCACCCTAATCATAAGTCTTCTGATTGATAAATATGAAATTATCGTTTTTAAATTTAGATCTTAATTTCAACCATGTGTTGTAGCTTTAAGTATACAAAGCTTGTACTGCCTTCATTAAATTTATTTTAGATAATTTTTAAACTTTGTGACTCTTATAAACAGGATTGTTTTCTTATTGTTTTCAGGTTGTTCATTGCTAGTGCATAGATATTGTGTATACAACTGATATATGTATATTGATTTTGTAACCTGACACATTGCTGAGCTCATTTATTAGTTCAACTAGTTTTTAGTGGGATCCCTTAAGATTTTTTATATGCAAGATCATGTCATCTGAAAATAGAAAAATGACTTCATTTCCAATTTGGAAACCGTTTATTTATTTGTTGTATTTTGTGTATTTATTTTTTCCTAATATTCCTAGCTCTAACTGCCAGGCTCAATACTGAATAGAAGTGGTGAGACAAACAATTTTAGTCTTGTTTCTGTTCTTATGAAGAAAACATTCAGTTTTTCTACATTGAAGATGATGTTAGCCTGAGTTATTTATAGACATTCTTTACTGAAGAAGTTACTTCTATTCCTAGTTTTATTGTTTTAGTAATATTATAATAAAACGGTGTTGGATTTTTGTCAAATGTTTTTTGACACCTATTGAAATAATCACATAGTTTTTACCCTTTATTCTATTAATATATTACATTGGTTGATTTTTAAATATTAAATTAGTCATATTTCTGCAATCCCACTTGGTTATGATAAGTAATCATTTCTATAAGTTTGTGAATTCAGTTTGTTGTGTTTTGTTGAGGATGTTTGCATCAATATTTATAAAGGATATTGACCTGTAGTTTCCTTTTCTGGTGATATATTTGTTGAGTATTGTTATTGGGTAATATTGACTTCACAGAATGGGTTAGGAAGGAAATGTTCTCTTTTTTTTGTTGTTGTTATTTGAAATAGTTTGTGAAAGATTGTTCTTTTTTAAATGTTTGATAAAATTAACCAGTAAATCCATGTGGGAGTGGGTTGTCTTTTTTGGAAGACATTAAATTGCAAAGTTTATATATTTGATTATTATAGGCCTATTCAGATTATTCTTTAGTCAATTTCAATAGCTTGCATTTTTCTAGAAATGTGTCCATTTAAAATGCTATTTGTTCATTTAAAAATGTAATTTTTTGTTGGTTTACAGTTGCTCATAGTAATCCCTTATTATCCTCCTTATTTCTGTAAGGCTGGTAGTAAGGGACCCTTGCTTATTCTTGATTTTAGCAATTTGTGACTTTTTTCCTAGGTCACTTAAACTAAAAATATGTCAAATTGTTGATCTTTTAAAGAACCAGCTTTTAGTTTTGTTTATTTTCTCTAGTATTCTTCTGCTATATATTTCATTTATTTCTGCTTTCATTTTTATTATTTCTATCTGGCTCACTTTGGGTTAGTTTCCTCTACTTTTTCTTATCTTAAGGTGGAAGGCTAAGTTATAGATTTGAGATCTTCTTTTTGAATATATGTATTTACAGCTGAAAATTTCCCTTTAAGTGCTGCTTTAGCTCCATCCCATAAATTTCAATGTTGTATTTTTGTTTTCATTTATCTGATTGTTTTCGAACTTTCTCAAGATTTATATTTTGACCCATTAGTGATGAAGACAAATTTTGTTTCATATCCACATATTTGTAAATTTCTTAAATTTTATTTTTTCTTGATTACTAATGTAATTTCATTGGAATCGGAAAACATACTTTGTATAATTGTAATTATTTTCAATTTGTTAATACTTGTTTTGTGGCCTAGTATGTGGTCTATCCTGGGAAATGTTCCTTGTACACTTGAGAGAAATGTGTATTTTGTAGTTGATGGGTGGAGTGTTCTGTCAATGGCTGTTAGACCAAATTGGTTTTCAGTGTTGTATAAGTCTTCTGTTTACTAATTGATCTTATAAATAGTTGTTCTATCCATTACTGAATGGGGGCCAGGTGCGGTGGCTCATGTCAGTAATCCCAGCACTTTGGAAGGCTGATGCAGAAGGATCACTTGAGCCCAGAAGTTCAAGACCAGCCTGGGCAACATAATGAGACCCAGTCTGTATAAAAAATTTAAAAAGTAGCCAGGCATGGTGGTTCACACCTATACTTCTAGCTACTTGGGAGACTGAGGTAGGACAATTGCTTGAGCCCCAGTGCTGGAGGCTGTGGTAAGCTGTGATCATACTACCACACTCTAGCCTGGGTGACAGAGCAAGACACTCTCTGTAAAATAAATTAAGTTAAATTAAAAAATAAAAATAAGAAAATGGAATACTTCAGCCATTACTATCGAATTGACTATTATTCCTTTCATTTCTGATAGGTTTTGCCTCATGTATTCTGGGCCTCTGTTGTTAGATGCATATATGTTTATAATCGTGTATGTATTGACCCTAATGTATTAACCCTCGTCATTATAAAGAGAGGAATAACACATATTTGGTGCCTGTTAACTCTGCTATTTCCTTTGATATGTGATAGATATATGTTGTTAATAACTGTGACTTACATTTAAGTATTTATCATATATCAGTAACTATATTAAATACCTTATAAACATTGTTTTATTAATCCTCCCAGCCATCCTGTATAGATCACCTTTTTATCCAGATAAGGAAACAGAAACGCAGGGAGTTTCAGACAGTTTTGGGTCTAGAATTTGACTCCAGGGCATATGCTTTTATCAGAGCCTTCAGTTTTAATTGCCATACTATATGTTGGCAAACATTTTTCAAACAATAAAAAAGGGGATTGATTTATGTATTAAAAATATAGAAATGTAAGACAATGTAAGTTAAAAACAGATATATACTGGATGTTGTGAGGTGATAGTGACAGAGAAAAAGTTTTTAAAGTGGTGCACTTATTGCCTTTCAAACCTTAGAATGAGAATGTAAAACCAGTTACTTTAAATAAATTCCCTCATACTACATATGCAAGCAAATTATATTTAAATATAACATCAAAGACTTCATTTCTTCATAGAATCAATATCATCCCAGATAACAGTAATATAATTTAATTCGTAATTAGAAAACACAGTCCAACATTTCTTTGAGTACTCCCTTGGAAATCTTTCCTTCCGTCATAAACAAGGAAAGAAATCTTTATGTGCATAGAAATTCACTCCCAGAAACAAAGAAACAGAGAGCCATCCAGAAACCAAATGATGGCTAGAAAAGACATATGCAATAGGCAAGTAAGCAAATTGGAAAAACTCACAAAAGAGACAGATATTCAAGAAGCAGACATAGATAGATAGATAGATAGGTAGATAGATAGATAGATATTCCAAAAACATGAAAGATGTATATTAATAGGAATAAAATAAAAGGCACAAAGGTAAAATATTCACGAAATCCACAAAGGGAAACACAGGAATTCATGTCCTACTTTTACATAGCAAAATCGCTTTTTGTACATTTTCTGCCAAAAAACATATTAAACTATAACATTGTTTCTTTGAGCATGAAATGGGTGTTTTCTCTATTTATTCCACAGATGAATTTATAAGAGAATGTTGATTATAGCTACAGACTGAAATAAGAAATAATTTATATTTGTTTTAATAACCAAAAATATTTGTTTTGATTGAACTATTTTTTAATCAAATAGGTAAAGTATTATTAATTCATTAAATCAAGAAAACTGAATGCTTCAAAGATAAATGTAGTTTAATGGGATTTAAAATAAACAAAACTTTCAAATATGTTGTTTAGAAAAAAAACCTGCACTTTCTTTATCCAGAGTGATGACGCTTGTCATCTCTAAGCACATAGAAATGCCCTAGGATTGAATTTAATTCAACACATAAAACTTAAAATCATAGGTTGAAATTGATTTTTTTCCCCCGACAGCTAAACGTCAAGTTAGATTTTTATTTCTCCCCTTTCTTTTCCACTTCTACTGTTTACATTTTCTTGATCAGGTGAAACTTTCCATTTTTTTTCAAAAGAAGCTTTGTGTACCAAAAGGTTGCATTTTGCCTTGGAATATAAGGAAAAGAGTAAAGTTACCAGAATTGAGTTAGGATAGCTAGAACTATGAATGTATAAAGATACCTTTCTACTAAGATAAAGAGAGAGAATAAATGAGAAAAGAGAAAAAGAAGAAAAGTTTTCACAGTGTGTCAACATGTCATTACAGACAAATTCTTGTGTCCTGACATCCGCCTTCTTAGCTTTGCTTTCTCCAAAGCTTTTGGGGACACCTTACTGGTAGATTCATACCTGGAGATGAAGGGCTCGTAGATTTTCCGGGAGTGGCAGAGGGATGTGGTCCAAGTTGTTATCAGTGAGGTACAGATGATGGAGGTCATACATGTCCTGTAAACATTCCAAATGTAGGGACTCAATAAAAATTACTGGTGCCACAATTGTATTTTCCATTCCCTTTCCATGCAAATATTTGTAAAATGACATGTTCCAGTTCAGTTCTTGTTTTGTAAATTTGAGGCAGCTTAGTTTTCTGAGTTACTAGACAATTCAGATGAGTTTTGGAAAAACTGACTACAAGCAAATATTTCTTCATGAAAATACAATGTTCCTCAGTCTCTAGGAAAACCTTGTTTTGTTCAGTCTAAGCCTGCTTCTTCTCATGGAAGACATTCTGCAGTGGGATTTCAAGTATTTTGATGAGGCACAGCAAGAATTTCCTTTATTTTATAGGCATGGAAAAAAAGAGTTCCTCTCCAGCAATGGCCTGGTAGCACAAGTACCAGGAAAGGGGCAGCCTAGCAAGACAGAAAACATTTAGACAGTAGCTGTTGTGCTCTAGCCAAACACCCCAGAATAAACTGTGCCTCATCGCCAGCTGTGCCAATAGAGGCAGAGTGGGCAGCCTAGACTATGACCCTTGTCTGGCTATAGCAAGTTGCCCTAACCCCCGTAGCTACCATTAATGAAATCACAAGAGGCCTAGCCAAGAGACAGGACATTCACCATCACCCAGGGGTAATGAGGCCACACTATCCCCTATGCCATCCCGGAGAATAATGTGGTGTCTCTCTAAAGAGTGTCTTAAAATTATGTGTTCAAGGTACACTGAAAGGGGCTGCTTGAATGCTGTAAGAGTGGGCAAGAAAGCCAGTTGGTTACTGTTCTCAGAGTCTATGCTGTTTTTCTAAGCAACTCCTCTAGCCCCAAACCTGCTTGCTTCACTTAGTAAGATTAACTGAATCCATCCTCTCTTTACAAGGTCATTTAGTAGCCTTCTGCTTTCAAGACACTGCCCATACCATGCCAAGTAGGTGTCCTTTTAGTCAGATAGCCTTTCTGAGTGGAGGGTCTGATCAATATAGATTCTCTAGCTTGCACCACTTCCAGGTACTTCTGTAGGTGGTGCTCCAGGTAACCAACAAATTCTTATTCCAGACCTGCTTTCTGTTCTTGATTCTCAATCACCCTCAGAATATACCAGCACATGGTATTTCTCAAAAGCATGACAGATGTAGTTGAGAAGTTTATTTTGAAAGTTAAAAGTCTCACTAAATTAAATCCCCTTATGTTGAGCATAGTGGCTCACATCTGTAATCCCAGTACTTTGGGAGGCCAAAACAGGAGGATCACTGGAGCCCAGAAGTTCAAGACCAGCCTGGGAAATATGGCAAAACCGTCTCTACAAATATATACAAAATTTAGCCAGGCATGGTGACATGCCCCTTGTAGTCCCAGGTACTTGAGAGGCTGAGGCAGGAGGATCATCTGAGCCCAGGGAGGTCAAAGCTGCAGTGGGCCATGATAACGCTGCTGTACTAAAGCCTAGGTGACAGAGTGAGATCCTATCTCAATCAATCAATCAATCAATCAGTCAATCAATAAAATTTCCCTGTAGGAAGAAAAAGGCTAGTTAATGACAAATAAAATTGGAAGATAAAAGTCCGCAAACCTTATCAAACTTAAAACTTACTTTAAATGCTTCTTGCTTTATCCCTTTCCTTCCAAGTCTGTTGTTGCTAATATCAATAAATGTCAAAGTGGTTGGCAATTCTGGGAGCTGCCTTATTTTATTGTCACGCAGGACAAGCTCTCGAAGTTGCGGCAGTTTTCTGAATGCATCTTCATCAATCTCAGATATTAAATTTGATGTCAGATCAATCCTTCTTAAGTCACCTAGAAGGAAAAAAAAAGAAGTAGTTAAATATTCTTGCTTTGTTCACATCAAAATATAAATTTTCCTATATTTTGCAAATATAAAAATAAATTTAGCAATGAATGGTTAATGAAATGATTATCTTTCTTTTTATTATTTCCTCCAAATACTATTTGTATTTACATAATTATGAGTATAACTTTAGCAAATAAATTGGTATATTACATTTAAAATAACTCATCTTCTTTCTATATTCTTTATAAATAATTGTCTGGATTTTGTCATTTAAAATATTTACCTCAGTGATGAGTGTTGTATTTTCTAATAGTTAAAGATACAGACATTAGAAAGAAATCTTCAAATAATTAAAGCACTTCATGAAGACACATACCAAAATTCTTCTAAGTTGGCAACAACTATAAAGTCAGAATTTAGGCTTGTATTCGTCTGTCATAAAACGATGCTTTAGTGGAAGTTTATTTTTAAAAAGCCAACTCCTCATAAACATGACCATAATATTTTACTCATAATGTCATAACAAGATAAAACATTCCAGCATATAAAATATAAATATTTATTATGCATATTTAGTTTGGATAGCTCATTTGAAAATATCGACTATGTGGTTTTGAAATGACCATTGCTTATTTGTTTTTTCTTATAATTATTAAAACAAACTGTTAAATTTTTAAACAACAAAAAAATGATTGATTCGTGAACCATGTTTTGGCATTCAAGTTTCATTCTCAGTGCTAACATCTGACAGTGTAAAAATTTTAGGGAAGTGTGTAAAGAAGTGAAGGCCATTAATACTGTCATCCATACTTAGGCTTGCAAAGTCATTTTTGTTGATCTTTTTAATTCTGTTAAAGCGGGAATAGAAGTAAGCGGTGTTCTTGGGCAGCGGAGGAATAGCATCAAGTTCATGGTCATCACAGTACACAGTGGTACTTATGCAAGTACAAAGAAGACAGGTTGGAAAGTCTAAAAGATAAAGGAAAATAAAATTACATGTAAGTAACAAATCAATTTCTAAGAAAGAATTTCAATGTTTGATAAACAAGATTAGAGTCTCCCACTAACCAATTACATTACGTATTTTCTCAAAAAGTTTTCTGTAAATAGAATATTCAAGTCAAATATGCCAACTAAAATTTTCACAACAATTAGTATATTCAATGTAACATTTTTAAAATAAATTAAAATTACTGAGTACTTTTTATTTAGTAGAAATTCTATATTCAAAATGTAAATATTAATATTGTACTTTTCATAAAGTTAAAATATCACATGTAATAGTTTCATTAAGTCTTTGGTTTCATAGTTTAACATCTCACTGAAACAACACCTGCTTCAAGAAAAATAAAAGATAATAATTATTAATATTCAGTTGCTCAATACATATTATTGACTCCTTTCTATGTAAATGTGCCATGCTAGCTGGTGAAACAGTGGTGAGCACAAAGAGACACAGTTCTATTTTACGATCTGCTATGTGAGATCATTGTTAACCACACAAATGAAATTATGAATGTACTAAATGTCATGAAGCATCATACATAACATACAGGGATTTTACCTGGTCTGAGAGTCATGGTAGGCATCTCTGGAGTGAAAACTGAGATGAGATTTGCAGAAGAGGAGTAATTGACTATGTAGGTAGGAAGGGACGAGTATACCAGGCAGAGGAAGCAGCATGCGCCTTCACTTTGGAGGGACTGAAAGATAGTTCATATGGCTAAAACTCAGAGAGCTTTGGAATGTATGGGACATAACATGCAGGGGCCTTGTAGGCTGTGCTACAGCTTTATTTCTTCCCATAAGGTTGGGCAGAGAGGTACCATATGATGCAGTTTGCATGTTAAGAGTTAAGTCTGCTGGAAGGTGTAATGGAAGGCTGATGCAAGGCAACTGGAAAAAATGGAAGTGAATCATAGCGTAGACAAAAGGTGGTAGCTTGGTCGGGGTAATGGTGATAAAGGAGGCAATGGAGCCAAAAATACTTCTGAAGCTGGGTTATATCTTGATACTGATTTTTTTTTTCTGTCTTATACACACACACACACACACACACACACACACACCTACCTCCACCCCTTTTTCACTTTCTGTTTAGTGATCATGGAGAGGACAGTAGGTTTCTAAAGGAGATGTAGAACCAATGACCAGAGGAAAGGAGGAGAATCACGATAGGACGATGTTATGGAGGCCACGTGGAGAAAGAGAGTTTTAAGGGAAAGGAAATAATCAACAACCTAAGCCTCCTGAGACGTCAGGTAAGTTAAAGACTGAAAAATGTTCTTGGATTAGTTATTGCAGTGGGTATCAGAGCATTTACAAGATCTGCAAAGCGATGGATCTGAAAGCCAGATTACAGTCCATTAAGGGAAAAGTTGGAAGTAAGGCAAAAGCTGCCACAAATACAGAAAATGCTGAAATGTTTGTGAAGAGCAAGGAATGAGGCATACTGATAACTATAAGAAAATATACTTCTGGTTTGTATGATGAAGGAGGTGATTAACGTGGAAGCGATTTGGAGGAAAAGATACAGAGGATGTGAAGTTGAATATAAGAAGGATCATGGAAGGACAGTAGGAAATAGAACTCAAAGAACATGGAAGGATTTTCATCCCACGTGTGGAAGGACAGAGTGTCTTTGTTTTGCTAGAAGGAGAGAGAGATGGAGCACATCAATATAGTTGTAGGCAGATTTTTTGTCTGGAAACAGAAAGACCAAGGAGCTGCTGACGATAAATGGCTTTTTCTTTATGAAGTAGGAAGTTAAGTTATCTGACAGGCGTGAGCAGTCTAGGTATGAGGTAAATAAGGGTTGTAAGATGTGAAATGAATGGAGAAAGTGAAATCTCTATGACATAAACTAGAAAAGTGGTGGAAGAAATGTCCCAGAATTGCTGAGTGATCAATTTGTCTTAGTTTACCTGAGACTTACCTGTTTTTAACATTGAAAGATACTTATCTGGGGAACTCCTCACACCCAGATAAAACAGGAGATTTGATCATCCTAATTGAAAGAGCCATTTGTGGTTGGTAATCAAGAACTAATAATGTGCCTATTAAGGTTTTGTTACCATCATTCAATACAAAAATTATTTCAATTTTAAGAATGGAAAGCCAGGAAAAAAGTTTAAGCGGGAGCTGTAAAATATTTAATATGTGTTAATTTCTCCAATCATTACAAAGTAATATGTTCTACTCACCATAAAACTCTTTAGAGGTAAGGCATTTGATTCTACTGCATATTTATCACCTTGATAATTTAGCAATAATTGCTTAGGGTAATTTTTATATATTCACAGTAGTTATAATTTAATTCTAAGTTTTTCTGCTCATAACTCAAGGCTTCATTATATGGCTTTAGATTATTATTTTTAGAAATTTTAGTAGTAAAAATACGATGTTTTCATTTTTAATATTCTAAATATTTCCAAACTATTTAATTTTGATGAATGTGTGCTTCTTCTTAAATTAAAATGTGAATTTGAGTTTTTAACTTCATTATTGATCCTCAGAGTAAGTTAGAGACAAGTTAAAAAAAAACTTAGTTTTTGTTATATTTCTAAATTGACATTATTAAACCATTACCGACTCAAGCTTTTGAAAGGATTAGGCATTCTGCTTCTCTATTGTTTCTGGCTCAGCTGAGAGATCCAAAGTCCAGGTATTGATACCAGGTTGGTCAACTTTTAAAGGATCTGAAATCTCTTAAACATAAGTAATGTTCTAGAGATATTTAATTTTCCTAGTTTGGTTGCTTTCTGCTGGATATTTGTATTTCCTTCTCATTGTGCACCTTCCTTGTTCACTTGTAGAGTTTTCTAATACACAGAAATTTAGCTACATGGAAAGAATATGATAGATTCATTAATGACACTGACAGGATTTACTTGTCTATGTTGCATTCTATGTAACACCTCTGTGATACTAGACCAACTTTATAGTATGTTGGAGTTTTAGTGTTCTTATTTTTAAAAAGGGGTAATCAGTGCCTAGTACCTAGTGTCATGACTCTTCAAAAAGTTAATGTAGATAAAACACTTCAAGTCTCTGGCATACAGAAAACATTGGGTGAAAGAGCAACTTTTTATATTACTTATTGAAGAACAGTTAAAAACTCAAAAAAGCAAAGAGTAAAATGATGGTACCAGAGGCTAGGGAAGTGGGGAATTGTTCAAAGCATATAAAATTTCGGTTATACGAGTTGAATAAGTTCTAGAGGCCTGCTATGAACACAGTATCCACAGTTAACAATACTGTTTTGTACACTAAAAATTTAAGAGAGAAAAAAATGCATTAAATCCTTTACGATTAAGAAGATTTTCATAGCTAACATTTATTGTATTTACTATGGGCCAGTAACTACATGTATTCATTTAATCCTGACAACACCTCTATAAGATAAGTTCGATTATTTATTATCCCCTTTATTTTAGATGAGAAAACTAAGGCACAAAAATATTGAATTCCTTGCTCAAGACTATACAAACACAAGTCACAGTGCCAGGATTTGAATATACATGTTTTGGCTCCTCTGTCTCTCCAAGAAACTCTCAGTTTTGATTCCTGTACTTTGCTCTTAGTTTTGCCTTATGTAATATTGCTCCCCACTCTCTTTTTGTCTCCAATGTGCTCTGTACAGACTTTTCTCATAAGACCTGTAATACAGTTATATGGTTTGGCTGTGTCCCCAACCAAATCTCATCTTCAAGTGTAGCTCCCATAATTCCCACATGTTGTGGGAGGGATCTGGTGGGAGATAACTGAATCATGGAGGTGGTTTCCCCCATACGGTTCTCATCGTAGTGAATAAGCCTCATGAGATCTGATGGTTTTATAAGGGGTTTCCCCTTTCACTTAAATCTCATTCTCTCTTGCCTGCTGCCATGTAAAATGTGCTTTTCATCTTTCACCATGATTATGAGGCCTCCGCAGTCACGTGGAACTGTGAGTCCATTAAAACTCTTTTTCTGTATAAATTACCCAACCTTGGATATCTCTTTATCAGCAGCATGAAAATGGATTAATACATACAGTATTGTCTCTAAATTTATTTTGCCTATCTTCCTGTGCTAGGCAGAAATGTCCATGAGAACAGTGTCTACTTAAAAACTAAGTTTTGTGTCTGGAGAACTTGGAATAGAGACACTCTATACTCACTCAAACTTTACAGTGGGAACACTCCTTATTTTTTTCTACACTCCCTAACTATGCCATTCTCTGTGTATATAAAACTATTCCAAGGCCGGGCACGGTGGCTCACGCCTGTAATCCCAGCACTTTGGGAGGCCGAGGCGGGTGGATCACGAGGTCAAGAGATCGAGACCATCCTCGTCAACATGGTGAAACCCCG